TCTGACCCGTCCTGACCGTTCTGATCCATCCTGACCCGTCCTGACCCGTCCTGACCCATCCTGACCGTTCTGACCCATCCTGACCGTCCTGACCCATCCTGACTGTCCTGAACCATCCTGACCCGTCCTGACCCGTCCTGACCATCCTGACCCATCCTGACCGTCCTGACCCGTCCTGACTGTCCTGACCCGTCCTGACCGTCCTGACCATGCTGACGGTCCTGACCCGTCCTGACCCGTCCTGACCTATCCTGACCAGTCTTGACCAGTCCTGACCCGTCCTGACAGTTCTGACCGTCCTGACCCATCCTGACCCATCCTGACTGTCCTGAACCATCCTGACCCGTCCTGACCCGTCCTGACCGGCTCCCTGTGTTCTGGCTCCTCCCCCTGGACCCCCCCCGGACCCCGCCAAGCCAGGGGGAGCAGGCAGGGCAGCGGGAGGAAGCAGAACCCAGGAGGGAGACCCACAGACCCAGCCAGGACTGGAGGACGCTGACCAGGCAGGAGAGGAGCCTCAGGCAGCCCTGTCCAGCTTGGGGACCTGGGCAGAGGTGAGGCCAGAGGCCCCGGGTCCAGTGCTGGGAGGAGCCACACCAGCCTCCCCCTTAAGGAGAGGAAAAGAAGGTGAGCAGAGGCTCAGGCAGGACCAGGTGCCCTCAAGGCACAGGCGGACGGCCAGGAAGCCACCGAGACCAGGATCCAGGGCCAGACCAGGTCCCACGGGGCAGAGGACGCTGTCCACGTCCATCAGTGAAACCACCCTCAGCCCAGACGCGGTGCAGACCTCACGGCAATAAAAGTTCAAACTCACAAAATGGAAAAGCTGTTTGGAACCCGCTGACCAGCGATTGGGAGGGACACTCCCGGTGACAGCAAGGGACACTCAGGGCCCTGCCAAGGCTGCAGCAGCCTCCCTCTGTCCTGGGATCAAGGTCGGCACCTTCCAGATCCCCTTCCCCAGCTCCTTTCCCAGCTCACTCCTCCGGCCTCCCTCTGTCCCCAGCCAACCTCACAGCCCAGGGCGGCCATTCCTGGAGAGCAGACGCCCGAGGGCTGGCCTTCCACGGTGGCCCCACCCAGGCCCAAACCCAGCCTCTGCTCCAGCCCTCCGTCCCCAGGGGACGAGGTCATGCTAGTGACCCCCCTCCAGGCCACCCTCCAGGTCACCCTCCAGGTCCCCCTCCAGG